TGCCTAGGCTCTAAACAATCAAATTAGAGCCTACTTTCAAATAGTGTCTAGAAATGTGGTTTCAATATTAAAAATCTTTTTGATAGCCTTAAAATATATTTTATCTTTATTTATAAAGTTTAAAACTTCAAAAATAGTGCAAATTGAGAGATCTATGAAAACCTCAAAATCTTGAAAATTAACGGTCCAAAAATGCATTATAAAATACGCTATTTCCAAAACTTGAAATCCTTTTTTTTTCTTATGTCCATGCATCTTGATGTCAAGATGATCAATTTGAGGATATTTAGGCATCAAAACTACCTCTTCTATATATATGGAAAATACTACGCAACACATATAGGCGAAAATGAATACTGATTTCGCTTATATTCATTACCGTCCAAAGTTCAACAGTTATACGGTAGTATTTCAATTTTCAGTTTTTTCTACAAATCAGAATATTCTGAAATTTGGAGCGTGTGTTCATAAAAAATAGGAGAATATAATAAAAATATAAAATAAATAATTCGTAAAACATAAATTGACCAAAATACCCTTAAAAATTTACAATGGTATTTTCATCAATTTATATTTTACGAATTGTTGTTCATATTTTTATTAGGTGAGCCTCACTAAGATGTTCACATGTTCCAAATTTCATATCATTCTGATTTACCTAAAATTGGCTAGGATATTTGGAAGATTTTTAGAGCCATCATCTAATAGGAGGTTTGGCTTGAAAGGAATAGAAGATCCTTTCAAGGAGTTGCGACCAATATAGAATTTTCTAGGAATAGAATAATTCATAACGGAATTGGTTTTCAACCACTAAGGGGAAGGTGTATCCAAGGTCAGGTATAGCTTTCAATTTGCATAATTGAATTAATCAAAGGTTGTCAAGGTAAGATTGAAAAGTAGATAGAACCACTGGTTGGATGTATGAAATTAAATTTTTGTGGAAGTTCATTTGGAAATCTTGGGGTGACATGCATTTGGTGTTCTTCAAAATAATCACGGTACAGCTATTTTTTGTTTTGCAAGTAGGGGTAAAAATGGATCCGGACTCAATTCGGAACCCGTCAGGTATATCCAACATGGGTCCAGTATGGATCCAACATTTGGACCCGCCAGGTCGAGTCCGGGTCCAAAACCTGGATCCTAACACTATTTGTGTCCAGGTCTGGGTCTGATTGGACTTGACCCGTACCCGTAATTGTTAGAGATAAAATACTTCATGCCCTACTCGTTCAATTGTATTAAGGATCGCATACAATAAGAACTTGTACTCATCTTTAACTATTAAACGACAAATTAGATGGCTTAAAATCTAATGGTGGGTGATTGTGACCTTAGCTATATAAACGACAAATATGATGGTAAAACAAGGGAAAAAATTAAAAGAAAAAGAAGCATTTAATGAGGTGGCAATGGACTCAATCAAACTCGGGACCTGACGGGTATGGGTATGGGTCCAGCTTTTGGACCCGACAGGTCGGTTGCAGGTTCGGGTCCGGGTCCGGATCCAAAGCATGGATCCAAAGACTATTCGGGTCGGTGACCGGATCCGGGTCCGAGTCCAATCGGACATGACCCATACCTGACCCGTTGCCACCCTTATTTGTGGGTCCTTGGTATTGTTTTGGCAAACCCAACATAATTGCCTGCTCTTTAGCAAGGTTTAATGATTGTTTTGGAAAAGCTGAATGGGGTACCTTGTTTGGTGGAGGGAGATTCTTTGAATGTTAATTGATGTAAAGTGTCTAGACCATCGTGGAAGCTCAGATCTATTTGGATGCAGATAATAGAGTATTGAAATAAGGTGATGGTCTCCTTTCGACATGTTTATGGAGAGGCAAATGATATGGCAGATTGTTTGGCCAAGCATGTAGTTGCTTTGCG